ACACAAGTGAAAACGTATAATCATTCAACGATCATAATAACACTTACTGTTAGCTTCCCTACCAAACTTCGAAACTCGCTTACCAGCGACTTCAGATAGCATTTCTTGGTACACTTCAAAAACCCCTCCCTCGGGAGGCATGTAAGACTGCACTAGCGTCACTAAAGATAGTACGAGTACTAAAGCAAACCGGCGAAATTGCATAGTCAAAGATGGAAAACTAAAGAGTAACCACCAAATGCACATGTAGAAATACACTATTGAGTTTTCTCATAACATTATGCAAAGACAACACACGATAGAAATATACATCACCGATGAGAGTTTCCCACTCGAAAGATGTTTCCATGCTGTGTCGGTTGGTGTTGGAGGCGAATCCGTACTGGTCGGTCGTAGCTATACCTCTATACTGGCTACTACTCGCCTAGTCGGAGGGGTGCTGCACAAGAATAATAACAATAATAATTTCTCGGAATTTCCAACAATTTTCATACTGTTACCAACACATGTGTATATATTCCCCCGCCCACACTGAGCATTATTGAAAATCGCGCTAGAATTGGGTATAACAAAAGTAGAGGGTAAAGTAGTGAAACCACGAATGAAATGAGGTGATTACAATCACAACGACAACGACTAGTATGTTATACCGAGACAGCCGACGTGCAACGACCCTCACATTAGCAAGCGACAGCGCACAGTGGCAGTCACGACATGAACAAGTTCCCAACAATGAGGAACTTGACACAAGTATGATAACAACAACACAGACAAGACATGACAATTTGTCATCACACAAACCACAAGTATCGACCGAGTTTCTCTGATGCCTTTTCCAGGCACACCAACAGGGAACTGATATCAACTCTCACAGCCCGGAACAGATGATAATGAAATGTCGTTCTCTTAGCTATGGTATGTTGGAATATGAATATTGACAGCAGCAGCAGCGTCGTCGTTGAGTATTAGAGACAGCAACATGTCTCGTACGATGAATCAAAGCAATTCACTAGAATCATCAACAACAAGACAGAACACTGGGGTAGTAGTTGCATAGGAGAGGACACTCATGCACTATCAACGGCAACCAGTGTTGCCACTCCACCAAAGCGAGGACAGCAAACTTGAGACCAGCACTAGTAGAAGAAGTAGTACTAGCATTAGTAGTAGAAGTAATACTAGTAGTAGTAGCTCACCGAAGCATCGCAGACTATCGGTAAGAGGCTGTCCACTGACTGTGGAAGGCAACATTAGTAACAGAAAGAGCATCACGAGTAACAAAAGCACAGAAAACTATCGTGGTGATCTACCGACAAAACTACCATTAGCAGCGATAACAATATTCATCAACAGAATTGCCTATAACTAGACTTCTACCACTACTTCGCGAGACTAACCGTTACCTATACCCCATATAGAGGGGACTCACGTAGAGTACCACACTGAAGCAGGAGTTACTATTTCGCAACCAAGACAGACACTTCGGTGAAGGCGCGGCGAAACATTGCACTACTTCAACCACGGAGGTAAAATCAAATATTCATGATCATCGAGAATATCAAAATGTAGCAAACAGATTAAACACGGCGGGACCCGAAATTGAATCGAACAACTTCTGGAGCCGCGTCAATCTCGAATGCTAGTCTCGACATACGACCATATGGATGATAATGACAATAATCATCATCATCACGAGAGACTCAAAATTCTTACAAGGTGTTTTTACTATCGCTTGGCTTAAAACTCGCTACGTAGCGAACTGCGCAAAGAGGGAATAAAAATGAATCCCCCAAATGCTGTGCCGCAAAACTTGATTGAAAAATTGTAAAACACGCTTCTACGTGGGGCCTCGACAGCAACGACGATGACGATGATGATGATGCCAGCCACTGCGAGTAGTAATAGGGAAGCTTATCAAGACAGGTGAGAGGCAAACACTGATTCGAAACGACTTGTCGTGAACGAGCACCTCCCTCCATCTTGAGCATGAGTAAACGATAATTTTCTAGTCCGTATTGGTACTCTTCTGGGCCTCTATAGCTTCAAGAATGCCAAAAATATCTACAACAACAACACCAAGAACTTACCCCAAATATTTAATATACCACAATTTCTTCCATTCAGACCAATAAACAAGCCACGTAGGCAAGACCTCTTTGGGGAATATCCCTCTGTTTAATCGGTGAGTACTATAACGAGTTGCAATGTCAAAAACTTGCTGACGTGAAAAGTCAGACTTCGGGTGAAAGTACAAAAAAAATAAATTCTGAAACCATCCAGTGTGAAGTTCATACTGTGAATGGTTTCAAATTGTCGATATCATTATCATTCATGGTTTCATTAGTGATTTTAGTTTTCTATCAAATTGTCCACTGCCGAAAATTCATCGTGTCAATTCCACAGCAACGATCATTTCACGACCAAATTTCTCACCTGCATTTTCTCCCGGTCTTTTCTCATCAACACCAATACGTCTCGAGGAGGAATACTTCATCGCCTGCCTAGCCTGCAGAGAGCTAACCAACTCTTCTAACTCTTCGGGCATACTGCTGCTGCTGCTTGCTGTTACGCGATCAACCTTAGCATACACCGGAATACGTGGAGTTTCTGTTGCACTAGTAGTAGTAGCAGATGATGATAATGTGTGATGCAAGAAATGATGATACAACAACGTTGGTGTAGCAGTAGGGATAGTTGGCGTTGTCGTTACATGTGGTGTAACGATAGTAGAAGTAGTAGTATCATCATCATGAGAATTCAGCAGCCTTGTGCTGTTGTTGTTACCCAAGACAGCTTCACCTGAGATGATCAACATGACGAAGAACATCACAGGTATGGAGAGCCGTCGTAGGAACAAAGCAAGACAAGCCATGAGAAAAGGCGAATATCCTAGAGCAGCATGGGAATATATGCATGTGGTCGGCTACATGTGTTGCCGAAAATAATAAAATTCTGAGAAAAAATTTTGGGAAATTTTAGTTGGTTTTCGTACACTTCTACCCAAAATTGTGTGAATTTTCATAATACGGTGAGGAAACTTACGAGCTCAGTTGAGGAAATCAAACAGGTATTGCAACACTGATCCTAGAGCGATTAATCACCGCTACACCCTAACAAAAAACCAAGTCGTCGAACAAACTTGATGTGAACCATTTTTTCAGTTACAGAAGTACTCATAAAATGAATAATAACGTATCATCCAAGTCGGTTCCTGCGGGACAGAAATTAACGTTCAGAGATTCTTCTTCATAAGGACGATGAAAAGAGACAATCCGACACAAACTGCAGTAGAGCAGTGAGCATAGCTCAGCGACATAAGACTATCTAGCCAGCATTAAACGGACTCATAAAATTAGAGAAATTACGAAACACCGATTAACGCACAGTTAGTCGTTTAACGACACACTGAAGACCCGTTCACTGTTGTGGAATAACAGTTTTGGACATATCATATAACAGTGGCTTCAATTCTCCCGGCAAACACAGAAAATAATAACAGCCGCTGTAGCTGTCATGTGAACCAAGCTCATAAAAATGAGCTGACTTGCGAGACCTAAATCCGGAGATCAACCAATACTAGCTTCGATCAGCTCCAGGACCGGACGAACATCTGAAAAATATTTACTTCCAACTTGACGGAGGTACCCCCAAAAAATGTGCTATTGTCTGCAGCTTGCAGAATTGAACCAAGCTTATTAGAGAGATCTTGGCGAGCGCTTGCCAATGGTATTTTCGAATTCCAGATATGCTTAGTGCCAAATACGGTTGATTCGCCAGGATAAAATCGGCCTGAACTTTCTTACATGAATTTTAAACCATTTCGCGTAACATGATTGCAGAATGCTCGGCAGGGCCAAAGCATATCGAAGATACCATTGAAAAGTGCTCGCCAAGATCTCTCTAACGAGCTATCTCCCACTGAGAAATCCGTTGAATTCTGCAAGTCGCAAACAATAGGACATTCCCTGTATGAATGATGGTATTATGATGATATTAAATGTCGTAAAATAAAGGTTATCTATAAATCATACAGATATTAGCAATCTATTATCAACAAAAATTCACCAACGATGTGAAAAACACTAGTGAAAAATATATTTCACGACTACTACATAGCGCGAATATCGAGTTTTTTCACAGAGTATTACGCCACTTCACGTAAAACGGGTTGTGAAACTCCAATACACGATTGACCTGCGTTCACAATCATTCACAACACTTTCTTACGTTTGAGTCTTCTATCCAGTTTCATCAATTCAACTCCGAACACCATCGAAGCATGTGTTTCATCAGCATGAGGCTGCTTCTCAACAACAACCTCAACAGAACCACACAGAAATACCATAGTGACAAACACAGTGACGAGGCTTCTCAAACGGCGATGACAACAAGTCATATAAAACATGATAGCGTAGCTCAACAACTCAGGAAAAAACACCAAAAACCCCAACGCAAAAACACGCCTGTTGCTGAGTTACCTCATTTTCCACGACCATCCAACGCCATTGTAGCGAGTCAGCCTTTGAACTCGCAATTGATAATAATATCAACGACCACTCATTCTCGCAGTAGTCAGTGACGCCGATACAACAATCATAGGAAATGCCCAGTAGTCGACAATAACAACAACCGTAATAAGGCCGATGCTAATGCAACTCGAGAATCGGACAAATCCTCGATATTTATTTCTGTGCGGATTGTGAAATTGCAAGAAAAGCGCACGAGAGAAAAAGTTAAGACAGTAATGGTAACCATGGTGACACACAATAGAGTGTTGTTAGACAATAACAAGGACAATACTAGACTTTCGTCGACCTCAAACGGAGCTTTCACTACGATAAGAGAGAACTACCAGGAGCTCACAAGGTCAATCGTCTGTTTGTTTACTATTATCATTAGTATGAATTTTCCTGTTATTCATACCACAACAACACCGATTCCTAATACGATACTAATACTCATGCTGGGCTTCTTGTTAAGAATGCATCTTCGGAGAACAATGGAATAATGGCAAACTCGATGATGATGATGATGATGAAGTCACTAATTCTATACATAACAGCATGAAAGCAACGAAATAGGATAATCGGTTCCCTCGTTCTTGATGTCCTTCGACACAGGGTGTTTATAGACAACAGCAGTCACAGAAGCCTGCTGATTGGGAAGTAGTAGTCAACAAAGGTAGTGCTTGTAGTTGAACAAGTAGTACAGCATCATAGTTCAGTAGTCAAAATTATCGGAAAATATCTTTTTCAAAAGTCAGAAGATTTCCGCAGCAATCGTGGTACTCAATGGTCATTAACATCGTCATCACATGCTGCGACGACCAGTAACAACTCCTTCTAGCGCTCTGAGAATCTTCGACAGACCTGACAATAAAATGACAATAAGTTGGCCGCAAAAACTCACCCTCAGAGTTGTCGTTAGCATTAGCGGTCACGCCCTTGTTGAGGACAGCACTACCGCTGCGCTTAGTTGTCGAATACTTGGACGCTTGCCTAGCTCGCAAGGACGACACAAGGTTCTCAAGCTCAGTCGAGACACCTGTTGGGGTTGTCGATGCGTTAGTAACAGTGAACAGAATGATCATCATCAGGATAACAGGAAGACGGGAGATGATCGACATTGTTGGGATGAGGCAGAGGCAGGTCGCAGCAGAAGAAGGAAACAAAGACACTGCAACATAGGGTTACAATTGGGCATGCTTCGTATCTTAGTACACTCGACCTAAGATACCCCTCTCAAAGCTGAAGCCATCACCCAGTCATCAACCAGTTCCAATAGTACTGTTAAACACCCACAATTAATTCCTCAAAAACGCTTTTTGCGGGAAACCAAACAAACTACGCTTCAATCCGGGACAGCCGACACAACGATCAGATCATCTCGCGCTGAGACTTCGCCCCTTGCGCAACACCAGCCGTCTCCAGAGCCTTCAGACCCTCATTTCAGTCAGCACTAACAACGTCAGCATCAGCGATCAAAAAAATCAACCCAAAGGCATTGTCGAGCCATTGCATCCACACATAACGTCTAAGAACCCTGCTTTGTCAGTATGACACGCTTTGTCAGTTGCGCGCGCCCATATAATCGATTTACAAATACATGCGTGCACTTTCTGCGAGGTTAAAGTTTAACCGTTAAACTTGCAGGGCTCGACGAAAAAGGAAGAAGTACAATGGACTCTACCTGATCCGTACGCACTACAGATCCCCATCGTGGCCCGATACGACTATTTCATAGGTGCATAGGCATCAATTCATCGTCAACCACGCATTGTGCCGAGCTTCGGCACAATTCAGTGGTGGGCACCCGGCGATTTTCTAGTCGCCCGGCCCGGCCCGGCAGCCTTTGAACCCGCTTCCCGGGCCCGGCCCCGGTGACCCGCAGTCTTTTCTTAGTAAGAAATTCTTACTCATGTTGCGGGTTCAGCGGGCCCGCTGGGTCGGCCGGGTAACCCGGCCCGGATCGCCAGGCAGGAAGGCTTTCGGACATGATCGACGGTAAGAACTTCTTATTAAGAAGAACCAATATCAGCGCTGCATGGATCAAACAATATTCCAATGTGCCAAGTCACGCGATTGAAACGCGAAGTGCGCGTTAATTTGCAGGAATCGCGGTGATCCCTGACAATTAACGCGAAATTCCGCGCTACGTACAATTAAGAGCACTGTTAGTGGCTTGAAATATCTGCGCTGCAGGGTTTCCGGGTGACCGGCAGACAGCTGCGGGTCATTTTTCGCCCGCTCACCCGCATGAACCCGGCAACACTGGCGGGGAAGCCGGGTTTGTGACTTTGACCCGCCCCGGCCCGGTTCGTTCCGGGGCCGGGCCGGGACGAATCGGGTCGCCGGGGCCGGGGAAGGGTGCCCTGGGCACTGTGCCCATGTCGCCGCCGCGGTGCCGCGCCGCCTCGGCAGCCGAGGCGCTAGTCTGTGCAGTATTACGACTAGACGACCTCCTAGTAAAATCATCCCAGGACTGCACACAACATTGTCGAGTATTCATGAATCATTATCACGACAAACACTGGTAAATGATGACAACAACGGCGATGGAGTCTTCACGAACTTGACAATATGGCCTTGTATGCTGCTCTTGTCGATTGGGCAGTGTCCTTTACATCGTCGGACGTACGGTACACCCCACCTCGCTCTTTCGTGCGAAGCACATGTCTCTTCTACTCGATCCACTCGACGGTCGAGCATGTTGACGCGATGCTTTAACCTGATGATAATGTTGCCAATAAACACACTATGTAAGAACAAGGTTCACTGCGCTTCCTAGAAGTTGCCACACACGTCACGTCACGAGCTGTTTCAGCGTACAGTCACTATTTCCGTACTATCTTATGTTCGTGTTTTCATCTATTTGCACGCATGCACACAGTTTCTTCTCAGAGTGTCAAGAGCTCAACTCAGAACGTTACGACCACTCATGCAGTGACGAGGTGAGCAAGTCCTC